GTGCATCCGTCCTCTCCCGAGGCACCCAGCACAACAAACCTGCCCACTGTGCCATGGGCCTCTGCCTGCGGCTCCAGAGAAGAAGAGGGAGCAGTCAGGGACCCTGTGACTCCCTACAGCACTGCAGGGGCAGCACAGCTGGGCAGGCGCAGAACAAATATCCTTGCCCTGGAAAACACTTTGTTCTTAATATATATCTATTTTTTTTTAATGACCAGTATTGATGCATATCTTCTTACCCTGCACTTCTTTTGTGCAATAAGTAATCAGAAGACACAGTGTCTTTGTGTGGTATGCAGCTGGTATGCAATAAAAGCCAAGCAAAGTGAATATCAAGATCAGAGCTACAAGCAGGATGTGTGATTTTAAGAGATGGGGACTAAGCTTCAGAACAGACTGCCAGGAGGCCCAGGGGACAGGCCAGTCTATCCCTTGACAAGGTCCTTTTTCCAAGAGTACTTGTTACTCGGAGGCAAGTGCAGAGATCTAACAACACAAGTGCTGAGATCTAACAACGCAAGAGGAACCACATGAAAAAGTCTGTGTGATGATACAGCTGCCCTCTCCTGGCCAAAAAACAACTATGAAACTTGGTTATTGCTCTGCTTTCAGGCACAACACACTAAGACCTCGCTCCTTGCCTGCTGGGCAGGCTGGTAAGCAGTACCTGTGCTTCCCTCTGGAGTCATTTTTTTTTTAAAGGGGTAAAAATAGCTCACACTTTAAGATTTTGACAGTGGTTACGCATTTCCGGAAGAAGGTGATCCATCTAAAGATCCTGCAAGGTGAAAAAAATAGTGCAAGGATTGATGTCCCACCGGCTGTTTCCTGACGCCCCTGCACTGCTGTGCTCGAGCCCTCGCCTCGTCCATCACCCTGCAGCTGCTCAGCCCCATGCAGTGAGTTCAAGTTAGCAACTATTTTTCTGGGATCAGAAACATAAACAGTACAAATAGCTTTAAATTCTGGTGGGGCTAGAAATCTGCCTTGAAAATATTCAGCATAGGCCCAGCCCCAAGAATATATTTTTGTAACTAGGATTTTGTGTATTTTCTGCTTTGAGAAAAGAGGCGACTGCGCGGTGATAACATCCATGATTAGAACAATTGGAATTTCCTGTCCCTTCATTGTCTAGGAAATGCCCTTGTGCTTGTTTAGGGGGTCTCTGGTTCAGGCACGTTCCCTCAGTGCAGCCCTTGGGCAGACGGAGCGCGGCGGCCACTCGCACGGGGCTGCTCTGGGGCAGAGCTCACGCTGCTCCGGGGAGGAGCAGCACGTGGGAGCGACCCCTGAGCACGGAGCAGCATCTGGGGCAGGAAAAAGGGAGGTTTGGGGTTTGTGCAGCAAAGTGCTGCGGAAGGCAGCAACATACAGGAAAGTTGGGAGGCGACAGGGAATGAAAGGGTAGCACAGAGGCAGCGCCGCACTGCCCTGCAGGCTGCCAGTGCCCATGTTTCTTGGGTTTCATTACCAAAGGTAGCGCGTCATTCTGCCTGCAGTGGGACAATTTCAGTTCTGCCATTAAAAAAATACATCCAAACCAATAAATATTGCAAGATTTAACTTTCTAATTATCTGGCTGATAAAAAAGCCATCTCTTCATATTCAAAAACTGCAGCCACCCTTGGCGTGTGTATCGTTCCTGGGAGCCGGCCCCTAAGTGCTATGACAAAGTCCTAACAAGCGAGAGGTAAGGACTTCTTTGAGGAGAAAGGGGACCAGTTTTATATATGTATATAAATACTCTAATACTTCATAATCCTTTACGTGTTTGTTGTTAAAGCACTGCACGTGTCCTGCGTGGAGCTTGGCACATGCATATTTGGTCTCGAACACTGCATTTCCCAGCAGGCAGGTAAGGTGTACAATGAATTCCCTGTCGGGAATTTTGTGCCCAACAGGCCTTACAGATTCAAATAGTTTTTCTTCTGAAAGGCACAACACACAATGAATACAGAAAAAGTGGGTTTCGTGGCCTGAAGAGCCAGGTTTCCCCAACAGCCAAAGATAGAGCAGCCTGGGAGTACCCGCTCCACGTTGTGGCAATGCTGAGAGAAAGATGCTGGGTTCCAGCTCCCAGCTCCAGGGCACGTTAGTTTGAGCTACCAGTAAATTCGAGTACTTAGCTGTTCTCTGTAAGTCAACACAGCTTGATAAAATGAGTAATCATTAAACTCTCTAAAGACTTTTCATGCCTTGACTTTATCCAGAGCACTGATCATGGGTACTCAAACCCAAGAGTTCTGGGTAGCTGAAATATTGTATAGACCCTGAAATGACTGAAGTGTAAAATGCCTTTGTCAATCGAGTTAGAATGGGATATATTATTAGTACCTGCACTTGCTGCTCATGTGTGTCTTCCCTTTACTGGAGATTCATGGTGTTCTCCCACTTCTATTTTTCTCCTGAAGGAGATGGCTAGAACTAAAATGCAGTAGAGTGAAGGGGAAACGTTGTGCTGGAAGCTACTAACGACTGCATTTGAAAGGATGGGTCTGACAAGCAAATATATGTAGGGAGGATCTGATCTTTTAGAGAGTTTTTCTTGCAAACCTTCGATTTTTTTTTCCCTCCAAGCCCACAGGCTTGCTTACTAGTATTTCAGGGGGAAAATATTCACCTTATATGAATCACGTTTCAGTTCAAGTGGACTGGATCTTCTTGCTGTTGCTGTTCCCATGAGAGCACTGTTTTGCCTGCGGATACAGATGCTCTGTACTGGGGGATTGTGAGGCCCTGTGCTTGTGACTCACCACTTGTTTGTGGTGTTTAAGCTACTTCTCTGCCATTGTGTAATACAATATCTTGATACGTGTCATTCTTGTAGTAGGCTGCCTTTTGGCACCCTCCTTCTGCAAGCCTTACTTTTGAAACAGTACTGAAGCTCTAGTGGATTCACGATGGGTTGCATAGCTGTTAGATTCACAAGTGAAACCTTTCTTTTTTCCTTGTATGTTTTTTCCTTTTTGAAAAAAAGGCACCTCCAACTAGCTTATTATTCAGTTTATAAAATCAAATAGCTCAAAGTCAAGAGATACCAAAGATATGATTGCTTATTCGGCCTTAATTCTGTCTCTGTAGTGTTTGCTGTAATCAGTCACAGATTCCTGTTTCAGTCATTGTATTAGATGGACACCACTTAAGCCATTGAGCCTAATGAGGCTGTTGACTTATAAGATCCCTGCTTTATTTGTTTTCAAAATTGGAATTTTTTTTTGTTGGAACAGGCTGCCCAGAGAGGTTGTGGAGTCTCCTTCTCTGGAGATCTTCCAAACCCGCTTGGACGCAGTCCTGTGCCACGTGCTCTAGGTGACCCTGTGTGTGCAGGGGGGTTGGACTAGATGACCTCTGGAGGTCCCTTCCAACCCTAAGCATTCTATGATTCTAAGTAAGTGAGCAGATTCTGAAATGTCCCTTCTATGAGAGTATTAAGGAAAAAAAAATCATGATCTAAATGATGCTTCTGCTGCAGGTTTCCCATTCTGCAAGGGGAACAGACTTAGGTACTGTTGGACCTGTGGGATATTTCACAGACCCACAGAATGGTTGAGGTTGGCAGGGACCTCTAGAGATCACCTAGTCCAGCCCCCCTGCTCCAGCAGGGACACCCAGAGAACATGACACAGGGTCACATCCAGGTGGGTTTTGAAGATCTCCAAAGAAGGAGATTTCATCTAATTCAGGGGTGGTTTGCAGAATTTAAGCAAATTATCAAGCCAGAAAGATGTACAACAGCCTTCCAGTCACTCTCTTAACATGCACCCCAGCAGGAGCCTTTAACTCGCGTCCCGCCTGGAGCAGCCCATACAGCGTGCAGAACTGCTGGCTGCTCAAGTCCTTCCTTCACTGCACAGTAACTTCCTGCTGCAGCCAAGGCCACCTCTATTCTTACCCACCCACAACCAGTTCACAAAAGTGGACAATTACCACCTCACGCTTCTGAGTCTAGGTCTCTGTTTGGTCCTAGCATGTACAAATGTGCCTTGCATAAATCTTTCACATCTGTAATAACCCTTATTTGTGAAATGAAGAGTTCCTATCACTTACTGGTACTGTGCTGATTGCTCCAATTTCTTAGGATAGTCTTTCCATAATCACTGTAGGTAGATTACAGAATAAATTGTTAAAATTACCATTTTAAGAAGTAATATGGTACATTTGAAGCCAATTACATAAAAGCACAAATGCTAAACCACAGCAATGTCCTAGAACAAAACACAAAGTAAGTTCAATACTCAGAAAAAAAACAAACGGAGAAAGTCACATGTTCAGTTCCATATTTATCTTGTCATCCAGGGGAGCAGTGAATAGCTCTTAACACTCAATAGTTGAAGATAGTAATTTGTAATTAATGTTTTTCACATTAATATTTAAATTAAGCTTGAAAAAATAAACAGTAATTGAGAATATTTTTAGCTATCTCTGTAAACTCAAAGATCAAAGATCTGTAATTCTTTTTAAATATAAAATTTATTGCCATAAATGATCTATACAGGAAGGCAGTGAAAATGAATGGCTAAATGAGTTATTGACACAAACAAAAGGTGAACAATGATCAACAAAAGCATTTTTAACTCAAAATAAACCTGGAGGATTGGGTACTACTGGATTGTGTGGCAATCAGTTTGTGACATACAAACGCACTGCTTCCCAAGCGTGCAAGGCAGGACCTCATCTCCTGACAAGCACTGAAACTCAGCTACAATCCCAAACTGCAGGAATTACCCAGGGATCACTGACTCTCTGGATCACAACCCACAGCTGCAAGCTGGAGTATGGCTGTCTCCTGCAGTATCAGACTTCTTTCACTTTTATAACTATTTTTTCTGCGTAAAGGCCAAGAAACAATTGCATAAGAATACAAAAGAAATCTTCATACTTTTAATTCCATATTAAAACAATGCAGTATCAAATCTATCAGTCTTCGTAACTTTCGGTTCTATAAAAAATACATGATTTTATTTATAAATAAATAAAATATGGCCTTCTAAACATGGCTACTAGTCTGGTTCCGTAACATCCTCATCAGGGCAACAATAGTATTCTACGAAACAGATCTGCCCATCTTCATTCCTAATCATATACTGCAGTGAAAGAAATCCTCGAGTATCTGTCCGGATGGACACTTTACAAGACAGGGCTAGTGCCTTTGTAGATGGTTTAAGCAAAGAAATCTTGTATCTGCAAGGGTGGAAGGAAAAAAAGGTCATTAAAAAACATATTACACAGAGAAGAGCTGAAACATTACTCCCAATTAATGCCATAAAGTTATGGAAAGCCAACTAGTAAGGCTACATTTTGCTCTCCTGGTAACACCCTTAGACAGACACTGTAATCACTGACCTTTTGATCATAGACATAGGATTTTAATAGATGGGATTCCTGCACAAATGAAATGAGTATTTTTGTAATGAATAAAACGTTTTTAAACTTTCCATTGGGAATGTATGAGCTGCCGCAGAGGGCAGCGCTCACACAGTCACCAACCTGTTAGTCTGGGTCTGGTTACAGTGGAACGCTTCGATCAGATCCGAGTCCCGTGGATAGTCGAGATGCGCACTTCCAGCATTCCCAAAAGTGGATAACCTGCAAGGCAAAAGGCACCATCTAAAAATACCTCCTAGCAGCCCTATAAAAACTTGTCAGAAGTGGTCATCTCATTTATGTCTATGGCTGTTTTACAAAATGCTTTTGTTACCAAGCAAATGTTCACCAAATTACAAGAAATGGTGTTTTCTATCTCCAAAAGGGGAAAGAAGGATTATGGCAGAATGGGATAGGAAATGGAACAGGAAAAGGCTGATGCACTCCAAAGCCTGAGATTCCCTTAAGGCATCTGACAGTGGTTTCGCACAAAGCTGATTAATGAAAGTTTGGCTCTTGATCTTTAATAACACATCTTAGTCTCTATTTATAAACACTGAAAGTAAAAAAGTGCCCATTCTGCAGCATTAAGCTATAAAAGGAAAAACAATGGTGAAAATCCTAGAAATTCCACTTATTTTCTGCAATGACTGAATTATTGATTTCAGACAGTCGTACATGCACCCAAGGACATTCCAGCCCCGGGAGATAATCCCAGTAAACAAAGGTGCTAAAGAAAAAATCATAACGAATTCAAACTCCGTAAAGTGTATGGAAAACAAACTAATGGAAGTTGAATCTTACTTAGGCCAAGACCACAGCTCTCCAAATCACATAGTTTTCAGTTGCCAAGAGCATGAGGTTGAGCACTGACAAAAGTTAACATCAATCATTGAAACAAGACTCAGGGTATGGTGAAGAACATTACAGAATATAGCAGATATTGAAGATATTTGTACTTTCAGCAGCCTCTCATAGGATGGAAAGTAGATAATAAGTAAGGGGTTAAATGCTATCAGAAATAGATTTTCTCAGGTAAAAAACACATTTTTTGCTGCTTTCTACAATCCACTTCACTGACATGCTATGCTGTCTTCCATAGCAACACACTGCCCTATTCTCGTGGTAAGCTTGAATGATAACTGGCCCACAGAATCTGTCTGGAGGGCTCCACAATTAGAGATGCCAGAGCAATGTGACATACAACACTGAGTTATTATATGTCTGCCAAATTAGCCCAAATTTGTTTTAAAAGAAAATTCCTGGGCTGAATCAAGGGTCATTCATCATGGATCATCCCTCTTTATGGAGAAACTGTAAAATACCATGAGCAGAAAACAAATATATGTAGTTCTCTGTTCTGGCCCTCTGGTTATGGAGTCTCCTTCTCTGGAGATCTTCCAAACCCGCTTGGACGCAGTCCTGTGCCACGTGCTCTAGGTGACCCTGCGTGTGCAGGGGGGTTGGACTAGATGAGCTCTAGAGGTCCCTTCCAGCCTTAAGCATTCTATGATTCTGTGATTATTTTGTCATGCTCTGACTTGAAACCACAGTTTGGTTTCACATGTTGCAGCAGATATAAAACATGTGCTCTTTTGATGGCACAATCTGTCCCACACAGAAATGCTGTTGTCTCATTTGCTTCTATCTAACACACATAGCTAAACAATTTTTAAAAATATTTACGTTTGCTTTACTTCACTATGATAATTTGATTACATAGTTATTTTTTATATTCATTACAATTTCCTTAAAATAAACCAATGCTCTAAAACAGCTTCCCCCTATATATCCTAAAATTTCCAGTCCTTACCCACAGAAAGAAGAAAGGCCAAGTATGAATATTTACACTGGATGCAAAGCTTCTCCTACCTGAAATATGGTTTGTCCGGAGACATGGTAATCTGCAAGACTTCACTGGTCATATCCAGCTCAGCAAACGCTTCTCGTAACCCCTCCGACTGTAGGATAATTTTATTAACAACATTTGTGCTGCAGAAATCGAAGTCTAACAACTCCTCAGGTTCTTGAGTGTTAATTTTGCACACTGTCACCACTCCTCCTTCTTCTAAGAACAGCATCAAGGGATAGCCATAACCGCGATAACACATCCTAAGAGCTGTTGATGATCCTGAAAAAGGAAATGAAGCAGAGAGCTAGCGAGCACATCTCACCACTTTAGGAAACATAGGTGCTACCTGCATGTCAAACACATTAAATTAATTTATAATGCTTGGTCTAGACTCTCATATATTTACTCAGCATGCTCAGTCTTAACTATAATCAACATAGCACAGTCTTTTGCTATGTAAGCATAGCCTGGATGTTTGGGTCCCCCACATCATGGTGCAAGTTAGCACCAGTTGACTGTCTAATCTTTTTAGGTCAGAGCCAGAACAAAACAGCAGAGAAAGGGGAGTTTCACAAATAGCTGCAATAATAGAACTGCTTCAGAAAACTCGTGTGCTATCACTCTGCTGCACACAACTATGCAGAGTACCCTGTACCACTCAGATGGTTTTCTGAATTCCAGTTACTTTGCCATGAGAAAACATTTTTTGAACAACCACCAAATTATATTTTTTTTAAGCAAAATAATGCTAAAACTGTGCTTTTAAGCAAATGAATATATGAATGAGTCAATATTTGTATATGTAATTCCAAAATGAATTTCCCTGTCTCCATCACTGAAAGACATTAACACAAGGCACTTAATTTTTCTAATTCCCACACTCAATATAATACTTCATATCCTCACAACAAAATCAAAAACCCTCTATTCACTAGAAAAGCACGTGTAGAGGCACTTGAGAGGGTCCTCAGTTCAGCCCATGGCTAAGCACAGGTTTCACTATGCAATTACAAGAGACACACAAGGACAATTTTCATCATACCTGGCAAAGAACTTGCACCAAAAATAGTCAAGCAGTCAAGCAGAACAGCCAAATTGATCCGGAACATCACAGATTCCTCCTGAACAGTAAATTCTTGAAAAATTTCCGCCTATGAGAAAAAGAAAAGAGATGGTGAGAGAAAAGATTTTGGAATTAGTTTACAGCTTTTATTTCAGTTAAAAGTCTTTATTTTCAGAGATCAATGCAATACAGGGTGATTTATAATGTAACGGAATTTCTCTTAAAAAAAAAAAAAAAAGCTACAGGTATCCATCCTTGAAAAAGTGTAAAATAAAATTAGGTCACAGTTTTAATGCCATACACATGGAAAATCTAAACATTTATCTTTTATAGATTAAAAACAAGCCACAAATGTTAACGTCTACAGCCATCTGCTTCTGGATTATAGAAAGTTCAGGCATCTATATTTTAAATATACATATATGTATCGATGGACCCCTTTCCAGATCTAACAGAACCTCATAAGTGATTCGCTGCAGCTTGTTATAACAGTTATATTAAAACATTTTTCGAATGTTTTCAGGCTTCCAGCGGTCTCAAACCTTGTTCTTTTAAAGATAAGCTCTGGAAACATAAAAGCCAGAGGAACCCACTGCCTCTGGCCGCAGCGCCGCACCTGGATGAAGGCGTTGGCCTGCAGGCACTTAGCGTCCTCCACCGTCACCTTGATGCCGTTGGCCGTGGCGAAGCAGCTCGCGTGGTCCTGGAAGTGCACGGCGCGCAGGAGGCTGGAGAGGTGGCGCGCGTTGTCCAGGCTCGCCGACAGCCCGTAGCGCTCGCCGCTGCCGGGCGGCTGCGTGGA